TTCCCTTTCCTAATGAATCCTTATTTAGAGTTTACTCTACGGTTAGCAATTACAGACTAATGTAACTTGTAAACAAATATTAACAGTATGAGTTCATATTATTTAATGTTTTAACTTAATTTATATATATGCAGGCTTGGCCAGGATGGCGTGCGATTTCACATTATAATATGATCACGCAAATACTATTTGATTTTATTTAACTTGACCTCAGCTGTTAATATGTTTTGAAAATTTGTATTCGTTTTAAAAATGCGCTTAAAAAAAAAACTATTGTTATAAAAGCAAATAAATCTTTATAAAAAAATAGCAAAAAATAAAATAAAAATAACTTAAATACTAAAACTAAAAATAAAATTACAAAAACAAATACTAAAACAAAAATAAAATTAAAGCTTAACCAAAATTAATAACAAAGTATAACGATAAGATTATCTAAATTATGTTTGGAATAAATAACTTTGAATCGTTTATCTTTACTACTGTTTTTATAATATAATATTATGCAAAAACCACCATCAACCAGTTGTAAGTTGATTATGCATCAACTTACAACTGATGATTGTTTAACAAACGCGCACATTTAAAAGTTTAAAAAAAGATTCTTAACAATTCTTCAGTAAAAATAATTAAATCCTTTATTTAAAAAATTAAAGTAATTTTTTTTTATTTAAAAAACATTTATGATAAAAAATAAATACTTACATAAATATAAAAAAATATATATTATTCATTCATGTTTTTATAAAAATCATTAGCAGTGTTTTGTTACTTTATTTAAATGCATTTCAATAGTCTAAAAACGTAAGTAAAGATCCAAGTTATTTAATTAAAACCGCTTTTAAAAAAGCTTTCTTTTTTTTCTTCTCAACAAAAATTTTAATGATTCTAATATATAGTTTATTAAAAAGACCTTCGCTGTTTAAAGTTGTCGTTTATAAAATTTAATTTTTTTTTAATTTTTACTTTTTTTATTTTTACTTATAAAAAAATCTTATACAATTAAATAATATAAATAAAAAATTTAACAACTTTTAATAATACATTAATTTAAATCATTAGCTGCTTTATTTAAAAGCACTTTGCTAATATAAAAACATTAGTTAAGATAAACATGTTGAAGTTATTTATAAATATTTTACAACATAATTTAAAAAAACTATTTCAGCGCATTTGCTAAAAACCATGATTAAATCATCAAAACAAAATATTAATTGGGTGGTCATATAAAGATATGAAATCACACGCCTTCCTGGCCAAGCCTTTATATATATATATATATATATATATATATATATATATATATATATATATATATATATATATATATATATATATATATATATATATATATATATATATATATATATATATATATATATTTAATGATCTATTTTGTAAAGAATTAATTTAAATTATATTGATCACTCTAAAAAAAGAACGTGAGAATTTGTATCTCTATTTGGTACAAAAAAATTTGCAACAACAACAATATATATATATATATATATATATATATATATATATATATCAAGCCTTTTTATTAAATAATTTTTTTTAGACAAACTGACCACAGCAGATTGCAACTTATAAAGTGTTTCAATAATTCGCAGCAAAATGTTAAACTTATCTGCTAAGAAAAAAAAAAACAATCCTACAAAAAAGAAACAAAATTGTAAAGAAATCAAGTTAAATTAAACTTATTAACTAGAATTATTATATTATTAACTAGAAAATTTAATAATTAAAAAAATTGAAAAAAAAAAAATTTAATAAAATTTTTGTTTAACTTTGTATTCTTTTTTTAAAGTCGTTGTTGAAAAAACATTATCTTTCATAACGATTTAACCACAATTGAAAGTTTTAATATGCAATTTATTTGTGATTTTTATTATTCCATGTAATTGAGAAACTAATTTGCTATGTATGCTAGAACTGTAAAAAATTTTGTTAATTTTCTTTCTTACGTTTATTATGTTTATTCATTTATTTGTTTTACGCCTTTTCGCTTTTAAAGATGTTTTTGGTATATTTGACGTTTTTTATCTATACTTATATAATAAGAAAATAAGAAAATAAATAATTTATTTGTTGAAAATATTATTTGATTAATAAATTCTGTAATGGCGAAACAAATTAAATAAAAGAATAACATAAATTCTTTAATAAATGCATTTACCGCATTTGATGCATGTCTGAAATTGTTTCTTTTACATTGCCTAATTTCCAATGTCAAAACGAATCACTAGAGATAATGATCATAACGATTGCTCTGTTTAAAAAAATGTATTTAAAAACTTTTAAAAAAATTTTAAATTGGCTCCTAAAAATTTTGTTAAAAAAGTTCAGTAAATTAACAATGTACTAGCCCACAAGATTTTGGAGCAGAGTTTCATTTTTTTATATGAAAAACTTGTTAAAAAAATTTTTTTTTTTACTAATAAATAGCAACTAATTTTGCTGTGCATTGATAAAAACAGTAAAGTTTAGCAAAAACATTTGAAAAATAAATTTAAAAATTGTCCGTGTAGCACAAATTATAAAGTATTTCCTTAATATACTGACTTAAAAAAGTCACAAAAAATTTTATTTCAAAAAAAAAAATTTGTTATATTCTTAGCTACTTTTTTCCTCCACTTGTATCAATTTTGGTAGTAAATATAACAAATGCCTTAAAAATTAGAAAAAAATATATATATATTTAGGTATATTATATTTTAATTTTCTTTTTTTAATATTCAGTTGTTTTTTTTAAGCTTATTTTATTTATTTCATATAATCTTCTGTTCTTTTTTCGAGCATTGCTGTTTTATTCTCTAGTTTCTTATAGCTTTATTTTTCTGCGAATTCTTAAAATGCTTACTATATAAAAAAGTGGTCAAGTTGTCTAAAAAACTACTTAAAGTAGTTACACACGCACACGCTTCCCGAGAAGGCTTGATATATATATATATATATATATATATATATATATATATATATATATATATATATATATATGCATGTAAAAACCATGCTATATATATATATATAGCATGGTTTTTACATGTGTTTACAAAAGAATGACAAGTTTAACTTAAAATGAATGCATTTGCAATTACTTTAAACGGAACCATGCTAAAACATTATTTTTCCAAAGGCGTGCTTTTTTAAAAATTTTTTATTATCATTAAACTAATGTTTATTTGCTGTTTTTAAAGTTTAAAAAAAAAATTTGCAGAAATATATAAAATTTAATAGATTTTATAGAACTAGTATGTTGATTATAGTTTTCATTTTTTACTGTGCGTTTAACAACAACCAATAGTATAATATTTTTTTATTAAATACTAAATATTATAAATATAATAATAGCATATCAGGTATTTGATAGTAACTTATTAAATTATAAATTTAATAACTTATTAAATCCTTAATACTATATTATTATTTTTAAATATTTAAAAAATAAAAATGAAAAAATAACTTTTATCAAGTTTACATTTTTTTTTTTTATAATTTAACAAACTAAATTGAGAAAATTTACTATTTTGCATTAATAGATAACAGTTTACAGTGAAGAGGTTATTGCATATTAGTTATCATTAATTTGCGCACACTTTGCAAATGCGTGAAAAGTTGTTTTAAACTAATAAAAAATTGATAAAATTCGATAAGTATCTTTGATATATCTAATTATTATATATCTTGTTAACTAGAATAAAATTTATTTGAAAATAGAACTCCCTTATAATTAAATAAAAAAATTATTTAAATAAAAAAAAAAAAAAAATGAAAGAAGTTAAAATGAAAATGACTTATTCTGGCTGACACACGGTTTCGAAGTAGAGGGGCGCAACCATCTATTAATGAAAAAGTCCTCTATATCTTGCATTTCTCTTAAATAAAAAAAAATATTAAAAAAATTTAAAAAAAAGTGTGTATGTGTGGAGGGGGGGGGATAAGGTGGGATGGATATTTGGCATGCCTCTTAAATTAGACGTTTGTTAATAAATAATAAAACGAACGTCAACGGTTATTTAAAAAAAATGATTTTTCGCGCCCTATATATATATATATATATATATATATATATATATATATATATATATATATATATATATATATATATATATATATATATATATATATATATATATATATATATATATATATATATATATATATATATATATATATATATATATACACACATATATATATAAATTAAATTAAAACATAGATAATATGAACTCTCTTAACACTGTTAATATTTGTTTACAAGTTACATCTGTCTGCAATTGCTAACCGTAGAGTAAACTCAAAATGAGGAATCATTAGGAAAAATCTATTTTCTTATGCTGATATAGAAGTTTATGCTCAACCCTTTTGTTATAGTTTTATTACTATATTATAGAAGTTTATGCTTAACTCTTTTGCTATAGTTTTATTACTATATTATTAGTGATTATAACTGAACTATAAACCAGCAAAAATTTCAAATAAATAATAAATATACATTAAAATATTCAAATGAAAAAATACGCCATTTATGGGACTTTTTATTGTTTATATATATTTATTTATATATATATATATATATATATATATATATATATATATATATATATATATACATATATATATATATACATATATTTATATATATAAACATATATATATATATATATATATATATATATATATATATATATATATATATATATATATATATATATATATATATATATTTATATATATATATATATATATATATATATATATATATATATATATATATATATATATATATATATATATATATATATATATATATAAACAAATTAAAATAGATTTCAAAAAATACTCTCTTTGACTACACTGAAAGCTACTAAGAATTGTTTAATTATGCTTTATTATTTATTTAATGTCTATTTAAATATAATAATGTTAAAAAGTTGTTGCTTTTGCCAGTTTATTAATTTCAATGAATTTGCATTAAAAAGATCAAAACAACTTACAATATTCATAAAGTCACTATCATCAGTTTCATCATCCATATCTGCAGCATTTGTTGTTAGTTTTTTATAGGCAGCAGACACCTCTTGAAATTTCTAAAAGTGTTTTTTTTTTTTAATTTAATTATGGATAGTATTTTTTTTATATGTTAATAAAATTTTACAGAAAAAATTATTAGTATTAAATGTATAAGTAAAAATGTAAAAATACACAGTAAGATGAACATAACATCACACCACTCTAATTAAAATTAGAATTATAAATAAAAAGTTGACTAAATATAAAAAAAACACTTGTAAGAGTATATTTTCCTCTAAATCTTACTCTCTCTATAAGTTATATGCTTAGTTTGCTGTAGCTGAGTAAGAAAAACTGTTAAGAACCATTACACTAACTCTCACTTCAAAAATAGTTTGTATGTACCTTTCTTTACAAACATTAAAATTATAAAATGATTTGACAAACTCGATTGTTGAAGCAGATTCCATAAATAAATTTAAATTTAAAATAAATAAACTGTGACCTGCAAAAAGGTGGTTTTTAAACATGTAAAAACTTGTTGTGATTTATAAAGTCTGTTGTATCATTTATCCAAGGTCTTAAACAAAACAAATATATATAGGCCTCAAACAAATAAATATATTTAAAAATAAATAGGCCTTAAACAAATAAATATATTTTATTTTGCAATTTAGCTTCATGGTTACATACACATATGCAAGCTCATTTAGAGGAGACCCAAAATCTTTTTTTTTTTATATGCTGAAAATAAATAACATTCAGCCCTGGGAACTAAGGGTCGCATTTGGCAATGCAGACTTTAAAGTGTTTGAGGTCAGCAAAAAATTGACAACCTTATTTTTATGTTTTATGGTAAAACCTTTGTGTGAAATTTTTTTTGCAGAGCAGATGCTAAACTTTTAGTTTAAAGTCAGCAAAACATAGCTGACCTCATTTTTCCTAACTCCAAGGACTCAGCATTATTATACATTATAACTATTATTACACTATAAATTTTATTTTATTATTAATATAATTAAAGTAAATATAATTATAAAGTAAAATGATGTTTTTAATGTTGCAAATGTTATGAAATTTCAACTTTATTCATAAATGAGTTCATAAACCATAATTGTTTTAGTTTTAAATTTCTAAAAAAGAAGTTGCTTTTTTTTTCATTACAAAACATCGAAATATATGTTCATTAATTAAAAGACAAAAATATATATATGAAATATAACATATTAAAAAATACCTTTATCAAATAATATGTACATATGCAATAATTTGTCTATTAAAATACTATTTTTTGTAAATTTGTATATTGAAATAATAATTTATGTAGATATTATATAAATACTTCTGCTTCATACTATTAATTTTATTATTTTAGAAATTTTCCTTGGTTAGAGTACCAGCATCATTAGCTTGTTAGATATTATTAAATATTATCGTTTTAGATTTGAATTCTTAATTTGCATAAAAAACAATTCAAGGAAACAATTCTTTAATCTTATAAATGATGTAAAGAAACATCAATACTTTCTTAAATGTAAACTTGACAATGAAGACTAAATTAAATTAGAACAAATTACTGTTAAATCAAGGGAAAATATGTTTATCAAATCAAAAGAACGATTACTAAAAAGGCAACATATTTTAAAGTGAACATGCAAATGGAAAATATATTGTGAGAAAAACAACAAAATATAAAAAGAATGCAGTTTTAAATCTATGTGATACCGATAAAAATTATTTTAATATTTAACACTCAACAAAACATGAATAGAAAAAAACTGCGATCACAAGCGAACAATAAAAAGCACTTAACCAAACATGAACAGAAATAAAATAAGAAAGTTAAAATTTATAGTTTTAAATAGCTAATTTATATTGTGTTAAAACCATTATATATAAACATCTTTTAAAAATCAAATAAAGAATTACTAATGCTTTAAAAAGTTAAAAAAAAATTAGTTAAAAAATTCTACTGTTTTAGCTTGTTTTAATAAAATATTAAATATTAATTATTTTATTATAATTTTTAAAATGGCGTTTAATTCCAAAGAAATTCAGTATTAAAAATGACATTATTGTAGGATTTTTTTTTTTTTTGAAAAGTTAATTTTTTTTTTTTTGAATCAATATTATTTGTTTTGTTTCATTTGTTTTTTAAAATAGGATTTCCTATAAATTTATAGGAAGCTAAACATAAGAATGATTTTTTTTATAGAGTGCAAGAACCAAATGAAATTTAGATTTTTATGATAAATATAATAAATATATAAAAAAATGTTGATCACCTGATGATATATTATATATCTTTTTTCTTTTTATGTAAACAATGTGAACTTTTTTCTAGTTTATCTTAGCCGTTTGTTGCTATGGCATTTTTGTTCTCCTATTGAAATGACATTTTACAAATTCCTAAATTTTTAATGAATAAATAATTTTGGTAAACAATATCATTTATTAGAGATATTTGCCAAATTCTTAAACTTTTAGTTAGAAAATTTTTGTTTTATTTAATTGATGTTTTATGGAAATAATTCAAAACATGGCGATTAAAATTGATAAATGTGTTGCAGGGTGCGTTAAAAAACATTATATTTAATGTCATATTTGCCAAGTATTTTACATTAAAACCTCTCAACATTACAAATCGAAAACTACCAAACTTGACAATAAAAAGTTTTTCAATAATGATTTTAATTTTATGATTGACATGATAATGCTACACTTTTTTTTTCACTACAATAACAACTTATAGCAATAATTGTTTAATTTTAAAAATAAAATAAAATAAGCAGAACAATTTTCATTAAATTTTGACATGAAAACAAGAATTTCAAGAATATTTGTTCCCGATGAAAAGTTTAGCAAATAAATGATTTTAATTAAAATTAAAGCAAAATAATATTTTTAACAGAATATTAATAAGGATAATAATCATTTAATAAAAATAAATATAACACAAAATTAATTTATAGCAATAGACAAGCTTAAAGTCTATTTAAAGTATCTGAAATATTTTATTTATATTTTTAATGCGAAATTTAGAAAATAAAATAACTAAAGAAATAACTAAAGAAATTCTATAGTAAATTATAATGAAAAAAAAATTATATAATAATAATTAACTAAACAAATTCTTCAGTAACCTATAAATAAAAAAAAAAAAATCTCTATAATTAGAAAAGTAAAACAACAAAGTTAGTTTTTCTTGGTATATGTTTATTATTTAGTTTTATTCAAAAATATATTTTATTTATAAAAAAATTCAGACTAAACGTTTTTTAAAAACAATCTATTTAATATGAACACAACTTGTCTTGGCACTTTAGGATCCCTTTAAGAAAAAAAAAAATTTATAAACACTAAAATAAACTCAAAAAACTCAAACTCAAAGTGATATTAATATCAAAAATATCAAAAAACTCAAACTCAAAGTGATATATAAAATATTACTTTTTGTTACATTTTTTATTGCATTTAAAATATTTATTTTAAATGCAATAAAAAATGTAACAAAAAATATTATATTTTTTTTGAGTTTCTTTAAAGCTTCTCTTTTGAAACATTTTATTAAGGTTACGCAAAACACTTTTACAAATTATTAGATTGTTTAATACATGAACAAGTTTTATTTAAATTACATACATATATAAATATATATAAACATATATATATATCAGGGCTCAAAATAGCCACCGGACAGCAGACAATGACTGGCACATCTACTAGTCATTTTGTCCAACCCATATTTTGTGTGCATTTATTTTATAATCATTATAGTTGTTTCAAAATTAATAATGAATTCAGTAGTGTATATAAACTTCATTTTTTAAACTTTTTAATTTTTATAGAAAAAAAACAGAAAATGAAATAAACCATTTTTTTGAGCTAATTTATTTTTTAAAAGACACCTAAGCATTGAATTTATTTAAATTAAGCAGCCCGGTTTTTATCATTTATATTAAAACGTAGTAATTAATTAATAATTTAAATTTATATTTTAGTATTAGTTATATTTTTTGTGCAATGGTTTTTATAAATTATAAACAAAAAACAAAAAAGTTCATTGTTTCAAGCCCTGTATGTGTCTGTGTGTGTGTTGAGTATCTGGAGCTTACAGTAGATTATTTCAATTTTTACTAGATCATAACTTTTTAAATAAAATAGATAATCACCTGAAATTTCTAAGGATAATAGTTTTTCACCCAAATTATCTATTTTTGTAGGTGTTTTTGACTGATTTTGAACAGTTTTTGAGTTCTTGTACTTCAAAGTTGCTAAATAACGTAACAATAGAAAAAATTTTGGAAACTTTAATGTGCTACAATTCAATACCAACAGAAAGCTGTGCAAATTTTTTTTTACTTTTGTGTACTTAGAGTAACCACTTGTGGAAAAAATTAAAATTATGTGTTAAAAGTTATTTTAGCACTTGCAGCAGCCTGTTAAAATATCAATTTTTAAAAAAAATATGATAAATTACTTTCACTTTGTTAATATTTTGTTTTCACTTATGATGGAGGAAATAAATATCAATATTAATGTTTACAAATATTATTAAAATTATACATGAAACATAGCCTTGTGGCTGAAACTGAAAACTATTAACAATATACAGCACATAAATACGGTGCTGATATAATTACGTATAAAAGATGGTGTCATAAAAACTCAATACCCCAACTTGACAACATATTATATTAAAGTCTAAATAAAAATTCCTTAAACTTTTGTAACAAATCTTTATTTGCTGCCCTTGAAAAAACATCAGAAAATTTTCATTTGATTGTATATACTAATAGCATATGACCTTGTTGATAAAATTCACGTATATATGATAACGTATATCTATATGTTTAGATTTCATATGTTTTATAGGGTTTTTTGCCAATGCAATGGCCGCTTGGTTATCGTTTCTAAGAGTTACTGGTTCCAAATTTATTTCTAATAATTCTCCTAATAGTTTAACTAACTAATTTCTTGGCAAGCTGTTGGTATTGACATATATTCTGCTTCACAGATGGACAGTGCAACACTTGATGGTTTCTTTGATTTTCAACTTATGACTGGTCCATCTTTA